AGGCACATTAAAGTTGTCTTGTTAGGATATGTTCAGAGAAGCTTGCCATTGCCTCTCTCTGAGACTGAGGCCCCTTCTACACTGCCATACAATCCAGATTGCGTTGTTGAAGGCTTTCATGGCTGGAATCACTGGGGTGTTGTAAGTTTTTTGGGCTGTATGACCTCACAGCCTCTGAGGATGCCTGCCAATAGATGCAGGTGAAACATCAGGAGAGAATGCTTCAGGAACATGGCCATACAGCCTAAAAAACTTACAGCAACCCAATCCAGTTTATCAAAGCAGATAATCCTCATTATCTGCTTTGGATTATATGAGTCTACACTGCCATATAAGCCTGTTCAAAGCAGATCATCCGGATTTTATATGGTAGTGTAGAAGGGGCCTAAGAGAGTGCCAGATGTGCCCAAGGTCACTCAGTGCATTTCCTTGGCTGAGTGGCTGAGTCCTAGTCCAACACTTAAACCACAGTATTGTGCTGTCTCTTGAAACAGATGTAGAGTAGGTACTCTTTTATTTATTTTTTAGTAAACAATGCTTTCATTTTTAATTGTTGGGGTTAATCTTGTGAGTTTATCTGGTTAAAGCTGAAAGTTTCACCCAGCTCTGTAGGAGCTTTATAGTCTGTCAATCAGATAGGGACTTACACCGGGGTGGGGGGGGGGGGGGGAAGGAGATATATGGGTAAAAATGATGTAGGATAGAATGAAAAAAAGGTTGTATGAGTGAATGAGTGTGTTTGGCTCAAGGGGAATAAATAGGTCCAAAGCCAGATTAAGAAGCATTTGCTGGTTTTGTGGTTCTGCAACCTTCTGGTCTTGCTCAGATGAAACCACTAAGTTGAATAGACCAGGCTGTGTGTTTTGATTCCCACCTCCCCTCTGCCTGACTGCCTTTGTAATGGTGCAGCCTGCAGCTCATTCCCAGTTTGGAGGTGTTATCTGAACAACAGGAGGCCTTAATTTGCTCAGGATCACTGGGCAAGGCTAGCCCTTTACTGTCTTCTCACTTTCTTGCATTTTTGCCCAAAGCGTCAAGGCTTTCAGATACAGATTTTTTCTGATGCTCTTTTTGCTGCCCTGTGCTTTATCTCTGCTTAAAATACTTACAATAAAAATATATATTTGAGCAGAGCATAGAAGATGAGCCGAGTGTACGTGTGTGTTTAACCTTCATGCATAATTGTGTAACCCATTATAAAGTGTTGATGCTTTGTTCCTAAATTCTCTCCATGAGGTGGTGTGCATTAAAGTGTATTTATACTTTTTCGGATTAATTAGCTGTGACCTTACGAACTGCTGTCCTTGTTTAATTGGTGTCTCCAAAGCACAGTAATGGCATAAATCATCTGATAATGAGATTCAGAGCTGGTTGCAGACATACATAATAGCATTGCATTGATAACGGCAAATGAGATTTGTTGATTCTGTATTGAGTTATAACTACAGTTGCCATATCTTCTTCTGGACCTCCTCTTTTAGCCCTTGACAGCATCTCAAAATTAAACACATGCAACTTTGACCCAATATTTATTTTAATTCCTGGAAAAAATAGAGTTGTTTGAAACTGTATGTTGTGTTGTTATTAAACTGTAAGAGATGAGAACTAAAGAAAAAGACTTGACTGAAATAAATGAAGTGCTTACCTTATATACTCGAGTATAAGCCTAGTTATTCAGCACATTTTTAGGCTGAAAAAGACCCACTTGGGTTTTTCTCAAGTGAAGGTCCTGGTGGGAAAGCATGGGGCTGAAAGAAGCCTTTTGTAGGGCTTCTACCAGTTGTGCACCTCCTCTCCTTTCGGCATAGTATCTCAGCTGGGTTGCTGTGCCAAGAGGGGAGGAGAGGAAGGTGCATGGTTCATCAGCCACACATCTTCCCTGCCTGGCCTCTCCTCTTGGCACAGCAACTCACCTGGTTTGCTGTGCTGATAAGAGAGAAGAAGATGCATGCTTTCCTCTTCTTCCTTCACAGCACAGCGACCCAGTTGGGTCTCTGTGCTGAGAGAGGAGGAAAGGAAGGACTGCCTCTCCTCATGGCAGCTGGGTTGCTGTGCCGAGAGGGCAGGAGAAGCTGCATGCCTCAATTCATATAATTTTATTGGTACCTATTTTTATTTTGAAATTTACCAGTAGCTGCTGCATTTTCCACCCTAAGCTTATACTTGGGTCAATAAGTTTTCCCAGACTTTTGTGATAAAATTAGGTATCTCGGCTTATATTCGGGCTGGCTTATATATATGGTAAATGTTTGCATTCAGCAATACCAAACCATGGTTGGTGGTCTATGGGCAATAAGCAGTGACTCTCAGACATATACGTATTCCTTCCTAAATCACATCCTACATTTTACTTACACAACAGGTTTCTAGTGAAACCACAGTTTGCTTTTGCATACAAACAAACCAAAGTGCATTCTAGTGGCTATGAAATTATTAATGTGGCCCTGATAAAATCTTCACAGTTGATCTTAGAATTCTGCCAATTGAACTATCATTATATTGAAAAACTACTTTGTTATCTAATAAGAGTCTAAAAAATTGGGTATAACAGGTATGAGGTGAAGAAGAAGCTACCAAATCAATATGTCTTCCATCCCAGGGACCGAGGGCAGTTCTACACAGGCATTAAATGCTGTTCCAAGCTGTCTTAAGAGTGGGGTATCCACAAAATGTACACCCACAATGAGTGCTATAGCATGAATCCAACCAGAAAAAGCTTACCGGAAATTTCAGAATAAGTAAAAAAAAAATCCACTGAAACCGATCACTGTAATCCCATGCAGAGCTGGACTTAAGCAGAGAAATGCGAAGCACTTGTCAGGATAGGGCTAGCACTGATGCATTTCAAAAACACAGAAGCAAAGCTAGATCCCCATCTAACATGCTGCTGGTCATGATGATGCCCATCAGTGCATCAGATGCAGAAATAACATGTATGGTTTCAGATCATTCATATTTAGCAGATCTTTGTGGCTACCATCGCAGTCTCCATCCAGTTCCTGGGGTGCCTGATAGGATCTCTGCAGCAATCCATTTTACTTTAATCCATATCCTGACTCTTATTTTATGGCTGTGCAGAACCATTCACATGCACAATACCAATGTCATTAAGCCAGGGTAAGGTAGTGCTAAAGAATATACAAAGTCACTAGGTTGAGAAAGGTTTGCATTCAGCATAGATTGAGTTTGCCTAGTGTTTAGTCAGCAGGCCTTGGCCATTTTGGGGATTAAGATTATTTTCTTAGGACCATAGTGGAAGCTTACTTCAATGGGACAATGGCATCTTCTGTATCAGGAAGCAGCAGGCAGGCCTTATTTTTCACTCATTTCTATAATCTCAACACTGCCATATTTCACCCAGAGTCTTGCTCTGCTTAATAATGGGGCTGCCAATGCATCACTGTCTACATTTGCCTTTTCCTTTTGTACAGTGACAAGGTATTTCTCCGCAGTACAAGTCCAAATCCAGAAACAGCGACTGAGAAATTAACCTAAAATATGCAATGCAGCAAATCGTCTAGCGCCTACTTCATATGCTGCCTCACTAATTCAGATTTATATCCTGCTTTTCTTCCAAAGTTGGAAACTGAAAGCAGCTTACAATATACATCAATCAATTAGTAATGCTAAAACAGTGCAAAAGTACAATAAAATATTTGCAAAATATGCACTGTTTTATCACACCACATCCTGTGGCTCAACCTATATTGCAATAGATGTTGAATTGCTTAGTGTGTTCTAGTTTCCCAAAGAATCTTTCTGAAGCAATAGATGTTTGAAGTTGTGGAAGTCTTTGTACAGAAATCCTTCATGGCTGCAATTCTGAGGTTTACCAAAACCAGGAACCTAATACATTTTCATTTGCAGTTCCATCATTCCAAATTATCAGTTGTGAATAATTCAATGGGAGTGGTACAGGTTTCCAATCCAAACTTGTGCTTCATATTCCTTTCTATTTTGGGATAGATTACTAGTATCCGTGCCCATGTTCTGGAAAGAAAAGAAGGGCTTTGAACAAAGTGCCTTTTGTTTTCTCAAGAACCAAAACAGCTGCATAGAGAGCAAACAATAAAAACAAACTCCTTGCCGAACTACCTTCTAACTCTTGGGGGTTCTGGAGAGAGGAAACCAGGGATATTTAGAGGCATAAATGCCTCATTGTGTGAACAAAAGAATGTTATAAGGCAATCCTGTGGCTCTGAGTTGCATCTGTTACCTTTCTAAGGGGCATTGAGGAAGGAAGGCGGGAAATTAAATTGAATATAATACTTAATACTGATTGCATTGTATTAGACTGACTTTTAACTTTCAGCCCAATCCACAAACTGGTTACACCAAAGAATTTAGGTTTGGCTCTACTCTCCCATTATGTAGAATATTAACCTGTGGAGAATGAAAGCATATATAATATTTCTCTTAATGCTATATTCAACTTTGAAAAAGCACATTTATTTCTCTCCTGTTAAAATCTGTTGGCGTGAATAAGACAAAATTGTATTTTAAAACAACATTCTTACAGCAGCATGTGTAGCTTAAAATTGCAGCACTGTTCTGATTTGTATTCTTGACATCTTATAGGAGGTAATAATAGAGAAGATTATTTGTAAAATAGGGAACAGTGTAAATATAATTTTCTTGGTAATGGTTTTGCAAATTAATAAATACTTGTAAGCTATTACTTGGCTCATGATTTAAAATGCTGTTTTGTTGAAGATGACAGTAAAGTAAGGGGCGGGGGAGGGGGGGGGAAGAAACATTTAAAAATACTCTTGCCTGGACTCCACAGGTGATCAGAAGTTAGTAATGCTGTAACCTACCTTGAGCCACGAGGAGAAGCGGGCAACAAATAAAATTATTATTATTATTATTATTATTATTATTATTATTATTATTATTATTATGTGGGCAAGGGGGTAAGCTGGCTAAAGAGGAAGATATAACTTTCCCCTCCTATTTAATTCAAGTCTTCTCCTCCCCCCCCCTCATTTTTTCTTTTGCAGGCCAGTTTCATGAATTCAAAGGAGACTGTCCAGTGACTGGAGTTGCTTATCTTGCATATTTGTAAGTATTACTATACATTAATACCTTTTGTGCTTGACTAAAAAATTAGTTTTTTTAAAAAAATGTAATAAATTGATGATCCACTTCTAATATGGAATGTGAAAATGTCCATAGTATAAATAGTACAAAACTTTGGGTGAATTGTGTTTCCTCCACGCATGCTTGTGGCTGGGACAGATCCACTGAGGCCCCTTCTACACTGTCATATCCCAAGATCTGATCCCAGATTAGCTGCTTATCCCAGATTATATGGCAGTTATCTGCCAGTTCAAAGCAGATAACCTGGGACTTGACCCTGGAATATAAGGACAGTGTTGAAAGGACTGGAAGTCCACTTCTCTTATATGATGCCTTGGTCCCCAATCCCTGGTGTTCACCTGAATCAACTGAGAAGGGCAGTATTCTGCCCTTCCTTTTCTCATTACCCTTAATTAATTGAAAGCAGACTACTTCTACACTTTGAATTCAATTCACAGCTATTGAAATAAGGGTCCTTCCAGACAGGCCCAAAAATGCAGGGACTGTTGTGCATTTATCTGAGGCATCTAAACGATGCCTCAGGTAAAAGTGAACTAATTTGGGACAAAGGTAAATCTTGTTTTGTCCCATATTAATTAGATACCCCATTACAACCAGGCCTTCCTGAAAGGCTTGGGTTTAATGGGGTATCTGGGACTATCCAGGGGTGAGTCCAAACAGCCATCTCAAACCTCTAACAACTTAAGTATAACAACTTTCTCAGCCACCATTAAAATACTTCTGGAGTCCTCCTGGAGTGTAGAAATGATGTGCCAGGTGACTGGGGGAGGGGGGAGGGTGAGGAGGAAAAACGCTTCTCCCTGAAACTCCTGGTGTGTCATTTTTGTGCACCAGGAGGACTCTAGCAGTACCTTAATGACGTCTGGGTAAATTGTTTTACATTTTAAGGGCTTATTTTTGGGGACTTCTGAGTGGTCCCATGACATCCCAGTAGTTATTGAGATAGGATGGACACATCCCCTCAGGAAAGCCTGGGTTTTGGGTGGCAGGTGTGGGGACTCAAATCCGCACCAAAATGGGTTTTTAAATAAAAAACTCACTCTGGCATGGATTTAAGTGCTCTCTGGAAGTGCCCTAAGATGAGCATAAAGAGGAAATGTAGGAGAGGGAGAAAAAAACTGGGAAATTTCAAAAGCAGTTGAAGAAGTAGTCTGACAGTGGAGTGATTGGAATTGTCCCCAAATCAAAGCAATTGGAGGATATGTCATGCTGTTACCCTGGGAGTTGTTCAGAAAAGAAACTTTTCCAAACTATGATAACTTTTCTAAACACATGGCCTGTATTCTTGGGATTTCTGGAAGAGAGATTCATTGGCTTAGATCCAGGGCACATCCACACTGATCATTTAATGCTGCTTCAAACCAGTATTGAAGAAAATGTTTGTTTAACTGTACAGATGATTACATAGGACATTCTGGAATCATTTTGAGAGCTGGATGGTGATTCCACAAACCGCCGAGCAGAATGCTGATGCTCATTAAGGGCTTTCTTTTGTTTGAAGCAACTGCAGTTTGAAACTAGCTTTGAACTGCATTAAATTGTCTGTGCACCTAGAACAGACCCACAGAAATCAGTGGTGCTCATAAGTCACAACTAATGTCTATGTTTAGGAATAAACTTCTTGAATTCATTGGCACTCTGTTTTGAATAAAGATACATAGCTTCATACAAGATACAATGTTTTTACAGCATGTTACTGAATTTGAATTCTGTTTCAACACAGTAGCTTTTGTTGACTTCCAGATAAACACATTTGAAAGAATCAATAAACACCATATCGTTTATTAGGAATCTATTGGGAAATGTCGTAGGGGTGTATTAGGAAACACATTCTAAGTATTCCCTACTGTGATACACACACACACACACACACAGACACAGACACACACACATATACACACACACCCTTAATAACTATAAAGGATGAGGTGGAAAGCCTATAGTATAGTCAACTTTGTAAGAAGGTTATGTGTGTACATCTGTTAGTATTTGCTTAATCTGGAATAAAAGAGAGGTATCTTGAGACCAGTCCTCTTCCACCAAATAATTAAATAAATAAACAAATAAGGAAAACATGTGACTGAGGAAGGAAAGTTCAACTCATGGGCCATCCAGTCCAACTCGCTGCCATGAAGTAGGAAAATTGCATTCAAAGCACCCCTGACAGATGGCCACCCGGCCTCTGTTTAAAAGCCTCCAAAGAAGTAGCCCCCACCACACTCTGGGGCAGAGAGTTCCACTGCTGAACAGCTCTCACAGTCAGGAAGTTCTTCCTAATGTTCAGATGGAATCTCCTTTTTTGTAGTTTGAAGCCATTGTTCCGTGTTCTAGTCTCCAGGGCAGCACAAAACAAGCTTGTTCCCTCCTTCCTATGACTTCCCCTCACATACTTATACACATCCTTACTTTTAATTTCTCTAAGGTGGTGCCCACAGTTCAGGGTTAAAATATAAGAATATCTGCTTGGAGACGAGTTCTATTATCGCCAGTTAGTTCTGCTCCCTAGTAAATATGTTTAGAATTGTAAAGTAATTCATGTTGATAGACTTGTGAAGTACATTTTACAGTGCAGCTGACTAATCTTGCTGTCATTTAAAGGATTTATTGTACTCTTTAGAGGTCCAGAATTTATAGGTCAAAGTTTAAATTCTTTGGGCTAAATATAAAATCTAGGCTCTGCCATGGACCTTGGGCTGGTTCACACATGCATTTCATCCCTTGATCTATCATGCCTTCATAACTCCTGGCTGAACATCCACACTGTATTAACTAGCAAACATTGTGTCTTGGGAAAGGTGAGGCAAGAGCAAAGCTCTTTATCTGGTATTTTAAACTGCAGTATGTTATACACATTTGTAAGTTATGTGATTTTACAGTTGTTAAGGGATGAACTGTTATAACCTCTGCAAAACAACCTTAACCTCTAATCTACTATTTTATAGATTCACATGTTTGGCATGTACACAAATATATCACATGAACATCTGTGAAGCAGAATGATATTGTATTTATAATAATGAAAGCCATTTGTAATAATAGGGGTTTTAAAATTTTTTACATGCATGACAACCAGACCTGAGGTGTGTGCGTGTGCACTTAAAATTCTATACCATTTAATAGGTTTTCAGGGATATTATAGAAGAATTATTCAAAAAGGCTGTTATGAGGTAGTGAGGGCTCCTCCAAAATATTCCCATTTTCTATCACGGGATATTTGTGTGCAATATGTGTAAAAATGCTTGGTTCCCATAATGACATTGATTGAGTTGGCTAAGTTGCAAGGATTCCATTTTTGGGAGGACTTTGGGTTATAAAGCCAATAAATTCATTGGCTTCCCAAATTATTTTGGCTGGAGTTCCCCCTGGGATTCAGATCTAGACTGATCCTGTGATAAGGGAGTGTAATGTGTAAATAAATTCTGGAGCAGAAGCTTAAATTTGTGGAGGAAGAGAAAATACAAACTAGTTGAGGGATATGAGTGATGTTACGAGAATAACGGGGACTGAAATTATGAAAAATCCAGGACTTTAGTCTACTGGATTATTTTAAGATAATTCTCTGCTAGTTAAGAAAAATAGAAATGAATGTTTAAGTTCCTCAACATACTGACATTTCAAAGAGACAGAAAGACATTTGCAGTTTGAGTTTTAGTTAACTGAATATCTGTTTCATGCAAGTAGATGCTTGCTTACCACATTACACTAGAGAATGAATCCACTTTAAATCTGGTTTCTGCCTCCTGCAGAATTCTGGGATTTGTAGTTTAGGGAGGAGCCTTTAACAGCATCACTAAACTACAAACCCCATAATTCTGCAGGAGGCAGAAACCAGATTTAATGTGGATTCATTCTCTAGTGTCATGAAGTAGCCAGTCTATGAAAGTTTATGCTACACACCCTTTTTCTCAGCTAATGTCAATGTTCCTTTTGCATAATGATCCAGACTAATATGGGTATGACTTTGAATACCACTAGCAAGGGTAAAAGCTTTGGGTAGTGCAAATCAAGAATGCAGAAGCATCAGGAATATATTTGAAGGTACTGTGTGTATATAACAACTATTAACTATTATTATAGGGTAATTTTTTAATATAGTCATAGTTAAATGTACTAAATGGGCCAGGACAGTAGACAGTTTTCTCCTTTTCTCGCTCAAGAGTATATATGGAGATGTGTGCTTGTCTACACTCACAACGCCCCTTTCCAATATCTCAAGTGTGGATTGATTCATCTGCTGATATAAAAACAAAATCACTTAGCACTAGCCATTCATTCATCATAGTAGATGGTGCGGTAAAAGGTTAACAGCTCAGTAGATGGATGAGATCACCAATAAATAACTGTGCTGTTCAGAGGCCGGGCGATATAAGTTTACAACAGGCAAAAGAGAGCTTTTACCCACTTAGCACACAGTTTGATAAAGACAGTACTATAAAAAACATCTGTATGTCTCAAAATGATTTGAAGCAAAATATAGGGCATAATGAAATATGTATCATACTAAGATGTGGAAATAGGTGCAAAGAGACTTTTAGAAATATTTTTTAAAATCATAACCATAAATGCTATAACTGTTGCTCTGTAAGGCTGAAGTAGTGAATGCTAACTATAGGAATCCAAGTCAATAGATTAGGTAGACTTTGCTCAGAATTGTTCTAGGTCACAATCCTACACCACGTGCCCATACAGAATATTGCAAGTGGCTTCTCGTAAGACTCTCATAGAACTTCTGTCTCCTCTATTCTATTTTCATTTTTGCCATTTTGCAACATGGCAGGACATTAACCAAGGCGGAGTCATCCCATGCCTCATTTTAATACATCCAGTGGCCCATTCTTCCTAAGGTTCCTGTTTTTTTCTGTCCAGGGATCCAACTTCCACAGACCACTGCAACCCCTACAAACGACAGACCTGGCCACACTTGGCACACAGACCCCCATGACCCATTTTACATCCTGGTG